ATTTTGTTGGTAAAATGCTAGAGCTCATTGTTGTTCGTTTCAATGCAGCTGAGCCTTGAATTGATATTGATTTTTGTATGTAGAATCGAAATGAATCACCGGTTATCCACGTGCGCATCTAATTTGTCATTTATGGGCAGGAAGTCGAGAGGCTACAAGCTTATCTGTAAAAAAATATCCATTAGCCACAGGTTTTTTTTTTGACAAACTATGGGAATTCTCAGAGTATCTGTTCATTTCCTACTTCATTTGTCTCAATACCAATCAATGAATTTCCTTTGGAATTGGAAAACAAACTCCGATCATAAAAAATCGATAGAGAATTGAAATTGGACACGATTAAAATTGGATGCCTAGGAAATATATTTATAATTGAAAAAATATCCATGCAAGCAATTTGCATGGAAAAACCAGTGCGCTATATACGCACAAGACTTGATTTATAAAATAAAAAATAGCTAATCTCTTATCAAAAGTTTTTGACAATCAAAATCACTCAACGATTCATTGTGAATCCGTATATGATAATACAAACACCGAATGACTAATGTCCAACGATTAAAAGAAAAAAAAGTTGATAAAAATCCATCAAGGAAAATTGCCTAATCCTTACACATATCGATATCTTTATCTTGCATAACAACTAAAAAGGGAACCGAATTTGTGAATGAATTCATGGAATTTTATTGCATAACACGTATATGTATATGTATTGAGAATTGGAAATCAGTCACAACGGAATACCGTTGGATATTAGAAACTTTTCAATAAGTTGAACAACACACATCCAATCAATTTATGTGCACTTCAATTGACCATAACTGCCACATAAATGGGAAAAATTGTCCCACAGGACAGATGTAAAAAAAAAGACAAGCCAAAAATCGTTGCTACAAAGAAATAGAAAAAGGAAAAGATTAAAGACATTGAACAAACGAAACAAAAATTAAATTTCAAAAGGTAAGAAAAACAAAACAAAAAATCGTCCAAATAAATCTTATTGTTATGTTCAGCCAATATGAATAACAACAAACGACAACGCAGTCCATGATGTCGACTAGAGAAATGAAAAGGAAACATGAATAAAAGCGAATAATACAGAATAGCTTTAGCCCAAAAAATATGCCCAAAGATGCGTCTTTTGAGATGGGCATGGTGGTTATTATCCAATGATTGTGCAGTTCTAGTGCGCCACTATACATATTATCTTTTCCTCTCATTTTTCTTTCTACCATATATTTTATTTTATTCTTTTTTTTAGTCGGCTTATTCGACTTTTTGCATCGCTGAAAGGTAAATGTGTGTGGATGAACGAACTTTCAAAATGAAATGCTTGTGTGCGTTTGTGTTCGCTACAGGCCAATTTTGTCCGAAAAATTTGCATGTAATATTTTATTTTTATTGCATTTGCAAAGAGCACATTGAACGCATGGGCGCATAGCGGCCAACTAACAACACAGAGCAAAATGAATACACTCTCACACTTAAAGGGCCCATTTGTATGTTGAATTGTTGTCTTCGCAACTTATGTTCGTCGTCCTAGTCGCTCAAACAAATCCAATTCCAGGAGAGTTGTTCTTTTGTGCGGCTGGTTCCATGCTAAGTTGATACCTACACAAAGACAGTGAGAAAGAGAAAAAGAGAGATGCCATTTCAACAAACAAGCGATGGGATTCACCCCAGATACAAATGAATAAAGAGAAGAAGAAAAATAAAAAACGAAATATCGAAAGCTTAAAGAATATGGTCACAAAGTGTTTTGTTGAATGAAAAAAAGTATGCAAAGCACCCTCGTGCATTGTATGGAAAGAGCGAACATATCAAAGTAAAATTGTTTATTGGAGTTTAAATAGAATTCTCATACATCAACTGCGTTATAATGGAATTCTTTTTTTTTGTTCGCTCGCTCGCTTTCTCGCTCCAACATTTCTATCGTCTCTCTTTGGTGTATCGTATATATTCTTCTGTCTTTCTTCTCCTCGGTTTGCCAACTATTTTCATTTTTTTATATTTTTTAAAATCTCCACCCAAACTTTTTACCATTCATGAATACACAGCAGATACGCGTAGTCTAAAATATGAAAAAAAAAACATACAAATATGCACACTTTTGTGCTTCCGTTTACATGCTAAACTGTTTGTATTCTGCGGAACAACAAAGAATAAACGAAAAATAGAGTGAGCAAGCCAATACACATTATATATCCATATATACTGTATTTGATCTCATCTCATTGACGAATTCCGAAGTTATTGCATCAATAAATTATTAATATTTCATTCGCCGCCACTACCATTGGCAACAATAAAAACAACAACACATGCAAGCAATGAAACGTTAGCCCTTTAGAATAAAAGCAAAGCTTTCGCGACTGTGTTGAATCATGGTAAAAGATCAGCAGCATTCAATTGCATTTCACGAAGAACGACTTAAAAAGAAAAAGATGGAAACGAAAATCGAAAATAACATCTGTATAGAAAATCTTTGTATTAAATTTAGGCGTTCGCTATTTGAACAACACACATACAATATTAAATTCTTTTTCATTGGTATAAACCTTTATTGAAATGCTATCGAATGGAACATTCGCTTTACACTGAAAGGACCATTGTCTTCGATTTTTCTCAGTATGCATCGAACCATCAAAATTATGTTCTGGACAACCGATTTGTCGATTTCTTTCAACTTTCTCTCAATCCATCCAACCAATTGTTGCACGTTTCACGTATTTTCTAGGGGCTTTTAACTATACACACCGTAACCACATTTAAGATATATACATTAACATTCAAAAAATACATCACAAAATGCATACGAAACGAAAATATTCAAATATTCAACTAGATATTCAAACATATACAGCAAATATTCACCATATTCACGTGTATATGTGAACGAATCGGAACGAATATTCATTTACAAAGCAAATGACGTTGACTTAAACAAATCTGTTTTATCGATTAAAACAGCTGTTCATTATGTTGTCATTTCAACAAGTGTCAGTGGCAAGTTTTTGGTCAGTTGTTTAAATTAATTCAGTTAAGTCAGTCGCATAAAATTTTGATCTGAAATGTTGAAATGGTAAGAGATTAAACAAAAATAAAAAAAATAAATAGTTTGAGCATTGAGAGTCTTAGTTTCTGTTTATAAATTTGGAAAAAAATTAGTTTTTTTGTGAACAATTCTTTTTTGTGTGCTTTATAGCCGAAAAATATACTAAAATCGTTGGAGGACCTGTCTGGAGACAAATTCAGAGAGAATTTGATTCCAATTTTAACGGAGGCAGGCTATGATACAAAAAGTGCAATCAATTCGCTGGATGAAAAAAAAATTGTTGATATTGAAAAATACGTTAATCAAAATCGAGAACGTTTTCAAAGTATTTTAAAAAAAACCAGATACGAAAATCTCGAAGATTTCAAATTTGCACCGGGCCACGTCGCGTTAATTCTATGCTTAAAAGAATATATACCGCTATTGCCATCAAATAAACGTCCCAGAAAAAGTCGACACGACGAACAAGACCACCCACCTAGCCACCCACCAAGTCCAAAACAAGCAAAAAATCAAAACAACGTTGATCAAAATATTGCAAGCGCTCATGTTTCAATAGAAGACCACACAGATCGATTTGCTGATCGAGCTGGTATTTCGAATGCATTAATTCTGAAGATTAATAAATTTGTAGAAAACAAAAGCATTCATTTGAAAGAAAAATTTGCAACTAAGCATATTTTGAATTTTCGTGTTGAAAATAAATCGGTTAAGTGTAGTGTTCAGTGCCCTTCTTGCAGCAAAATAGTTCCGTGCAGCTTTGTATCTCATTGGGTTTGTAGCAATTTACAAACGCATTTAAATATACACATTGGGAGCATTGAATATTATGAAGTAGACGAAAATAATCAATTGGAAAAAATCGATGAGCCAGCTATAATACGAGCTCCAATAAACGGTGATTTAGATAAAGTGCTGAACGAATAAACGGTCGACATAAATAATGTAAATCAGACTTTAATGCTCTTTTGGTGTGATTGCGAATTTCATAGTGTGAACCAGACTTCATGATATTTCTAGAAATGTCATTAACAATAGACAGAACATAAAAACAATACGCGCCAAAAAGAAGTGACATTAGCTACTGATCACATGGTATAAAAATTTAGTGTTAAACGGATTTAAACGTGAAATATTCGGCTACTTCGATAAATCATATAAAAATAAGCTAGACAATAAAAAACACTTTTTTCGAAGTTCTACGTGTTTTTACACAATTCAATCAATACATGATGTATTACATTGCGTTCTTTAAAGATTTAAAACAAAATTTGATCGTCCCGAAGCAATGGATTCAGAATATAAAATTGCACAAGGAAAAATTTTACAACAACAGTCTAAATCGCTCACAAACGTTCACGAGTTTCTACACAAATAACCCAACTGCATTTGATGACGATGGATTGCCGTTAGGAGATTTCGCACCAAATTTCGATGCTCCTATGCACTTTGGAACGCAAATAAATGGGGACAACTTGTTTCAAATCAAATTGGTGGCTTACAAAGGTAAGTACAAGATGGAAATGAATTGAAAAGCAACATTTTTATTTAAAAAATTGAAATTTTTGCAATTTCAATAGCAACACGTGAAGGAGCGATAGAATTTGAAAGAAGCCATCGCAATGTAGCACCAGGCTTGTACAACGAAAAACGTTTGCATGAAATGCCAATTCCATCAGAACACGCCGAGGATGATCTCCTTGCATACAGTGGCTCTTCTGATGAAATGTCTATTGAAGAAATACTGATTCCGAACAACAATGAAAGTTCAAACAGTATTTTGAACGGTCCACTAAATTTAACCACGAATAGCATCGAGACAGGTAACCCGGAAGAACCAATTGCATCATGTTCAACGGCAACAAAAACTGTTGTTTCAACAGTTAGTATAACTCTTTCAAAAGGTGTTGTAGCTATCACCGAAATGGACAATTCGAAGAGTGTCCCTGATACTCAAGAGGTTACACAACAAAATGTTGACAACAATCCGAACATGGCAACCGAAAATAGCCAATCAACAGATGAACGTAACCGTGAAGATGCAAATTTACAACATGTCATACCTACAGAAAATGTTGTTGCTGCTAATTTGCCTACCCAGAACTCGGTTAGCGAAGATGGTGAATCAACAGTTGAACGTGTTCGTGACGGTGCAAATTTACAAAATGCCATACTAACAGAAAATGTTGGTGCTGCTGATTTGCGTATTCAGACAGTTGACAGCCAATCAGTTGAACGTGCAAATTCACAAAATGCCATTTCAACATTTGATGTTGTTGCTGCTGATTGCTCTACTCAAAACTTTGCGGTCGGAAATGAACCAACAGCTCAATGTGTTGGTGCAAGTTCTCAAAATGAATCCATCGATGCTGACCATTCCAATGAAAATATGGAGGTAAAGCCAAGTGTTGTACCAATGTACGAAGTCCACAGAGCCAATGAAGATGCCATTCTTGATCAATTGGAAGATCGAGTAGTCGAGATTATCGACGACATGGAAATAACAACAACTTCAAAGGGATTTGGCAAACCGCTCAACACCACGATCGATGGTTTAATTAAACAAGAAGAGTCAGACGAAATTTCTTGTGACATTCCATTTTTGAATACGGTAGAATGAAAATGTTCATATTGAGTCAATTTCACATTATAATGAATTTACATTAATTTATAGAAAACTGGACGTGTGTACAAAATTGGAAAAAGGCTTATGGAAATACCTCACGTGGTATTTTCAAGATTTATCACATGGAACAAACCACCATTCGATACTGACTTGTCGTGTGATAAACGTTTTGTTTTTGCTCTAATTCTTGCCCTAACTGAAGAAGAGAAGCTGGTGAATGATGATATCCCTGAAGAAGTCATGCAATTTGTTAAAGGTAATAAATTTCGTGTTATTGAGATAAAAATGCAGTGCATACCATTTACGATGTTTTTGAAATGTTTCTTTTACAGATCTACTGACAATCCGATGCCGAAATGAAATGGACCGTATCGTCGTAATCCATGAATACGCAAAAGAAGTATGTGCCAGTAAGCGTACCGGTGCATGAATGGCCAATCATCTGAAGAAACAACGTTATTTGGAAAATCAGTCCAATATTTTTTAACTTCCAATTAATTCACTGTTTCTCTTACAGTGGTCGTTTTATACGTACGCTTCATTAGCTCTTGTCATTTTGCTCATTTTATTTTAGTTATTATTTCGCATTTGATGATGAAAAAATTGTTCAACAGCATTACAGTATCTATTATTAATTAATTCTATTTTTAAAATGGAAATACCAAAAAAATGAAATCTCAGTTGGACAATTTTTTCCATTCATTGCGCATTTTAAATGCGGTATTTAAATTAAAGAGTAAAAACCATGTGAATCAATGTCAATGTTTTCCATGGATATGCTATGTGTGTTAAACAAATATGCAAATTACATATTAGAATCAAATATTTGATTTACTGTGCTCATATCGCCATAGTTTTGATGAAATATTTTTTTTTTCGTTACGTATTTAAAAAAAATTATGTTGATTTTGTGATAATTATGCGCAGAATAGAAATAGTGTCAAAGTCAAACAAAATTAGAAAAACAGTTTACGAGCCCTCCATTCAAAAGAAACAAATCTTAGTGAAAGTTAATTACTTTGAAGAAATCCTTTGAAAAGAGTAATTTATTTTTCGTTCCTCGTTATTTTTCTTTATTTATTTGAATGTTATTAATGCTCGTTATTTTTTTTAAAGGATTTCACAGAAATGTTTAAAGAAATATGTAATTTCAAACAATGAAAAGAAAGTTCTATAGAAAGTACCATTTTAGGTACTATTATTACGTTAAAAAACGTTTTGAAAGAGACAATAGACATTATAGACAATTTTACCATGTCAAAAATTGAAAATATTATTTAATATTTTCAGATGAATCAAAAATAATTTAGAATCAAGTCAAAGAGTGAAAGACTTCTTTTTTGCTATTACTTTTTATTTATTTTATTAAAAAGTTTGAATAAAAAAATATAAGAGAGAAGCCTTTAGTATTCATTGTCAAGTTTTCTGAATTTGTGATAATTGAAGATTGACGGCTTGTAGAACAGCAGTATCATCGGTAAAAGTCAACTGGCCATCAATTAACTTTATGTCGGGACATTCCATAGTAATAATATATCTATTAATATTCATGTAAAAGCAATTGAGTTCACCACATGGAGCCAATTTCGTTTCCAATCCAATTTCGAACCATGAAGCCGAAACTTCAATACCACGTTGTTTTACATTTTTTGGGGGTATTATAAGTGCAAAGTCCCATGAATATTTTTTGCCCGTGGACTTGCCTGCTTCGATAATAGCTTCGATATATTGGAAAGATAAAACATTTCCCAGAATGAACATCTTTTCTCCATCTTTATCTCCTTCAAATATGCACCAATCTCCTACTTGAATTTCCGTATTCTTGCATAAAGAAAGTATCGTATCACTTTTATTGGGTGTGATTTCCTTCTTAAAAACTAAACGACGTTTCGAAGGATTTGTTTTACTGACTTTATCTTCAGCTTTCGATTCTCTCACTCGTTTCAAACGATCATTACTAAGATGTGACTTTGTGTCTGTTAAAGTCCACAGATAAGTCGATTTTCGAACTCTCTTTGTCGTGCCATTTTCCAGTGTTATGTCAATGAATGAATTCGGTTTGGTACACTGTTCATGAATATGTTGTGCATCGGGTTCTGTGACTTCAGCATCGCTGTTAAAGATGTCTTGATCTTGATATTCTACAGATACATTTGTTGGTAGATTTTTCAGTTTGCAATATTCAATTTCGTTTCCTTCAATGTTGATACCAAACTTTGCAGCGTCTTTAATCGCATCGTTCTTGGCATTATTAATTATATTTGATATTTCTGTGTCACATGGCAACTTATATTGATTTAATCTTGCTTTGTTGATTTTGTTACGGGGAAAAGAAATATCCGCATCAGCCAATTTGACATAAACAATGTCGTTTTGTAACTCAACCCGTTCGACCATGTGGAAAAGTTCGAGTAAAGTAAAATTGATCTTCGTGAAATTTATGGTCCCCATCGAACGGAATTGCCTAAAAATTTCTTCACATGGCTGACTGTTAAATAATGATGGCATGTACAGTTCCTCCAATTTTTCGTCTCGAAATTTTTGCGTTACTAAAATTAAGTTCAATGCATTGATTTCAATGCATGTGTATGCATTTTGGCTGATGAAATTATTGTATGATTCGAATTTGTGTTCTTCGAGCCACGTTTTCCATGCTCTTAAAATAAATGTTGCGTGCCAAAGTCGGTAAATTCTTTCTAAAGGTGATAGGTCATCTTGAATAAGACTGGAAGTAATTTTTGCGCACAATTTTAAATACATTTGGGTTCCTTCGCTGCCGACTACATATTTTGCAAGAGTATTAATTACTCTGGGCTGCATCATTTTTTCGAGAGAGCCGAAGTTTTGGCGATCGTTTGGACAAATATCTTTCAAGACGAGACCGTGAACATCTTTGGGTACATTTTTGATCAGGATTTTCAAATGCGTTAGTGCTACTACCGAATTACCGAAGAGCAAAACAATAGACGATGCCAATAGGCGATTGCGAAGTTTTGTGCCTATATGTACAGTATCTTGCATGCAATAAAAAGTTTTTGATTTCAAATTTGAAACATCCGTTGCAGCTCCATTTAATATAGAGTAATGCTGCATAGCACTCAATAATCGGGTATCACCGTCGGAAGAAAATCCTACTACTTCTATTCCGTACCTAAATGTAACAGATGAGAAAATAGAACAATGTACTGCAATCATTTTCTTTCAGGAACATGACGCAAAATCAATCTTACTTTTTTAACTCTCTAATCGTATGTTCCCATCGATGCATAACGTCCGTTGCTAACATTTTGTTATCAATTCCATAGATTTGTAATGGGAATGGTGGAATGTCCGGCATCAATGGTTGTGCCAAAACTACATATACCAAACTCGACATTGGTTGCGTTGAATATTTTTTAATGTCTTCAACCGTGTTGGCCATGAAAGTATACGGTTTTGGCATTCCGTTTTCATCCAAAGGAAGTACAATACCGACAAGTTGATTGGTTGATGGGTCAAATTGGATCTTTGGGTTTATCCCTGTGGCATCCTCACATATCCATACCTAATAAATATATACAAAGAAAAATCATTTGTTTGAAGAAAATACACAATGACGGATTGTAACAAAAACAAACAATAAAAAAACAAACTTTCAATTTCAATTTCATATCATTGAGATATTTAAGGAGTGGTTTGCATCTAAGATTGCCTTCGACTATCTGGCACTTGCTTTGCTGGATGTAATTCACTATTAACGAAAAAATAAAAACACAGATTTGAGGTACAGAATTAGAATAGAATTAAAATTAGCACCTACATATTGTGTTTGGTTGTGGAATTGGCATATTTGCAGCAAGAGTTTGGTATAATGCCCTTCCCGACATCAGATAAACATATGTTGCGAAGTATTGTAGTCGTTCGTCGAATCTATGGCCGTTTATATTTCTTCCTTCATTATTTTCCGCTGATTCGACGAACAATTTCAAAACTGTTGACCATTTTTTTGAACAAGGAACGCTTGGCGTTTTGATATCACTAATTTTGAGTGTTTTAACATATTGAGGCAATGACTCTATGAGCGCGCAGTGACCTGGTGCAAGTTTGAACGGCAAAACATTTTCATATCTGGAACCTATTAATCCCGAACATAGTTTGTCGTAATTTTTATTGAAATAATTTTCGATTTCAAGAATGTGTTCAGGTTTTATTGCTTGTAATGCCCATTTGGTATTGAACCCACTCTCATTTAAAACGAATTCAATACACGGAGGAATTTCATCGTCTAAGATACGTTTTATGGCCGAAAAAATATCGATGTTTTGAGTCATTTTATTTACGAAAATATATTTCACTTCTTTCACACTAAAATATTCTTTTTTTCACACCAAATATTTATACGTTCAATTATTATTTGTATGTTATTATTGATCACTTTTCCTGTCAAAAGAGAAATCGATATTGCAGATAACTGACAGATATGAAAATGTTTTGCCGTATGGTATTGGTAGATATACACATATATACATGTTGGTTATACACATATTCACAAATATTCACGAAATATTCACCTTACTGTGAGAATATACACGAATATTCAAATATTAGTGTTTTATATGTTTATATTTGTACGTTATATAGATCAATTATTTTACTTAAAAGCCCCTAGCGTATTTTGGACCTTCGCCTATAACATACATCCAAAAACAGACGAGAAATAATTAATTTGGTGTCTTTTTCTGAAGTTAAGTTTTTTCGTTCGTGTTTAAATCTCCTAATGATTGTGTCTAAATCTATTGTTTTCTATCAAATCTGGATGTGCTGTAACCATAAGAATCACCAAAATTGAATGTTTGCTTGACCAACGCGATTTTGGCACTTGGTGATAGTTTTGAAAGGTTTGAGCACTCAGATATGGAATACAACCGGACTTTTTGCTTTTTCTAGAATCCTCATCTTCATACTAAGTCCATGAACTTCGAAGACAGATTGGTTCATCTTTAGACGCATGCTGAATTTGTTTTGAACTTAGCTGTCCAAAACCATTTGAGACACTTTTTCGTGAATTAAATTTGTACACCATTGCGAATGAATATATTTGAATGGTTTGTGTTTGACAATAGAGTAGGAGTCTCATTAAGTCTTCTATGTGCATCGGTTGACAGTTTTGATTTTGTTTATGTAGTGCAATAAACGCCTAAATTTAGTGCAAAGACTTTCTATACAGATGTTAGCAACGAAAGAAATGTCGAGCGGAACATGAAGAAAAGGGAAATTCAATTCTATAAACAGAAAAATGGCCATTGAAACTCAAGAGAGACAGAGAGGGGGATAGAAAAACAGTAATATTCACATATGTGAAAGCATCCAAAATTTGTGATGGCAATAGTGGTAAACAATGGTAGCAGTAGCAAAAACAACAACAACAGCGGCTGCCATGGCTATGGCACCAGTAGT